AGGAAGACGTTGGACACTATTCATGATAAAATATTTATACCAGCGGCTGCCAGGCAGGATACGCCCACATTTTCGAGAGATGGATAGAGAACAAGCTAAAAAGAAAGTGATTTTTCCTGCAATCAAGGGCCATAATTCAGGAAATTACAGTTCGATATGTGCGAATATTAAAAGGAACCGAGATCTTTGGGTTATAAACTTACATTTTAAGTTTCAACAAAATCGGATAAAAATTGTGACCTCTATAGGGTCCACAACCTTGATATACCATATTTTTCGATTGTCACGAAATTCAAACTCAGTCCTCCTTCGGGTGTAACGGTGATATAATAATACGTTTTTTTAAATCGGATGCGCAAATATTGAAAGGAACCGAGATCTTTGCGTTATAAACTTACATTTTAAGTTTCAACAAAATCGGATAAAAATTGTGACCTCTATAGGGTCCACAACCTTGATATACCATATTTTTACGCTATTTGAGAAAGAAGGGGAGTCGATTTTCACGAAATTCGAACTCAGTCCTCCTTAGGGTGTAACAGTGATATAATAATACGTTTTTTTAAATCGGAAAAAAATTATGACTTCTATAGGGTCCACAAGCCAAAGACGCGATTTTTCGTACAATCAGGGGCCATAATTCAGGAAGTTACGGTCGAATATGTGCGAATATCAAAAGGAACCGAGATCTGTGGGTTATACACTTACATTTCAAGTTTCAACTAAATTGGATAAAAATTGTGACCTCTATAGGTCCACAACCTTGATATACCATATTTTTACACTATTTGAGAACGAACGGAGGCCATTTTGTCTAAATGCGCGAATATCGAAACGAACCAAGATCTTTGGGTTATGAACTTATATTTCAATTTTCATCAAAATAGGATTAAAATTGTCCACAACCTTGAAGGCTTGATATACCATATTTTTAAACTATATGAGAATGAAAGGCGTCCATTTTGTCTGTCAGTTTTGGGCCGATTTTCACAAAATTCGAACTCAGCCGTCCTTAGGGTTTAACAGTGATATAATAATACATTTTTAAATCTGATAAAAATTATGACCTCTATAGGGTCCACAATGACAAGCTAAAAACGCAATTTTTCGTACATTCAGGGGCCATAATTCAGGAAGTTACGTTCCAATCTGCGGTAATATCGAAAGGAACCGAGTTCTTTGGGTTATAAACTTATATTTCAAGTTTCAACAAAATCGGATAAAAATTGTGACCTCTATAGGGTCCACAACCTTGATATATCATATTTTTACGCTATTTGAGAACGAACGGCGGCCATTTTGTCTGTCAGTTTTAAGCCGATTTTCACGAAATTTGAATTCAGTCGTCCTTAGGGTGTAACGGTGATATAATACGTTTTTTTAAATCGGATAAAAATTATGACCTCTATTGGGTCCACAAGCTAAAAACGCGATTTTTCGTACAATTAGGGGCCATAATTCAGGAAGTTACGGTCCAATATGCGCGAATATCAAAAGTAGGGTGACCCATGTACTCATAGAAATACAGTCCACCGCTGATAGTTCGAGACTACCACTGACAGTATGATACTATAAATAACCATGGCACGTGCAATTCTCTACAAATCTATCAACTATTACAGCCGTAAAAAATTTATTGTTGACGATTTTGAATAGCAGTAAAATTAAGCTTCTTGGTTATTACAGCAGATTTAGAAATTACGTTCGTTTCATTTTTTAAATCGCTTTATCATTAACTGTACCGTTAAGAGCAGCATCTTTTGGTTTAGTACAAATAATATCTATGAATCACTCGGGTTAGACAGGAACATGATACTAGCAGTAGTTTCATTTTACTTTTACAAGCTTCTTAAAACGTTTGTTGAGCTACCTAACGTGCTTATTTCTAAATTCAATTTCTTGTTCTAGCTTTCTGTTATGTTTCATAAAAAAGTAGTCTTGATTATCCCGACCTGTCAATCAGACGTAGAATGGTCGATAGACTGGTTAAGCGAGACTAATTTCAAAACAAGGGCACATAACCTATCTTTTACTCAAAAGTGTCTGGATGTTATGGACGACTCTTGGAACCAGTTTTCAGTCTATTATTTATAGATGATTAATGGTCATAGCTTATTAAGTATAACATGATCGTTTATGTAGTGACTATAATTGTGTGAAACTGATTTGAGGCTTGGCATATATATAAATATTGTGGCGTAATTGTCGAGATATATGGAGATATTTATTTATGGTGGGTCACCCTATCAAAAGGAACCGAGATCTGTGGGTTATAAACTTATATTTCAAGTTTCAACAAAATCACGGCTCAGGAAATTGAACGGTCCAACTAATTATTGAACAGTCGTGCTAATATGACGGGACACTTATAATTCAACACGTGTCGAGAAACTAAACACTAGTTAATTAGACGCTTGGTAATCAAAATTAAACAGTGAGATTGAAATTCGATAGAAGTACAAATTGAGCAATATTCGCCGAAATTCAACAATATTTATGAATAATTGGACACAGAGTAGAAATTAGCGCTATTTACGCTAGATTAAAGGGTACCAATTTCCTAGTGATACCTGTAATTATAAACCTAAAATACAATTATTGAGTTCACCCCGCTTTGAACTTGGCTGTTTTTCATTTTTCACATCTCTTTGTTGGAAATAGTGTGTGAACATATGAAATTGCAACAAAGAACTTGGCTGTTATTCATTTCTCACATCTCTTTGTAGAAATATTGTGTGAACATATGAAACTGCAACGAAAAATGTAACAAACTCTTTTAATGCATGTCATTTCTAGTCGACTTTGCCTTGTGTTTTTCTCTCTACATAATCGCTTGAAAGCATCAACAAATGTGCTGTCCTCGATACGCTCGACAAGGTTTTGGTTTGGCTGAACCCCACCCCTTTTGAAAAATCATGTATCCACCCTTGTGAGCACCCTAGCTGTGGACAAAATACCTGGTTCCAAAAACATGGCAATTTAAAATAACTACGTTTTGGAACTACAGACAAACATGGCATTTTTTTTTACCACGTTATGAAAGTGGCAAAATTGTGGCAAAAATTTTAACACGTTTTTGCCACATTTGGACAAAAATGCCAAAAGAGGCATTCTGAGGTTTATAGTGAGACATCCCTGGAGTTTCCTCGTGGATCTGGAACCTACGGGGATGCCTTCCCAGCCTGTTTTCCTGACAATGCAAGCATTGGAACTTTTAGCAGTTCTCCCGTGGCCTCCTGATGGGTCCACATGGCTCGCGATGCCCTAGTAGCTCCAATGCCTCCTAAGATTCATCAATTTCTATCTGTAGTACAAGGCAAAAATTTCCCAGTGGTACCTACGCATTATTAAAGACAATTGTAATTGGCTTAATACACCCTAACAAGTGTCACTACTTGAAATTGCGCGACCATTTAATACTTCAATTTTAGATTATTTACGCCAGGTAAAAATTTCAGTCAGAAGTAATCTAATGACTAGATGGCTTTATTTTTATTGTCATATGGGTTAAAAACGGTTAAGTTTATAGATATGGCAGAAATGATAACTTATCGGTTAACTGAGGACTTGATACACTTGATCAATACAATCATATTTTTCCTTTTTCAGATCACACACATGGAAGATACACTCCAACTGTAGAATACCGACTAATGCAGAACACCTCAGATTGACCTTAAAATCAAATGGGATATTAAATACGGGCTTCTGAACATCATTACAATCCTGGATTTAGTTCTAAAAGTCCTCGGTTGACACAGATCCGCGCGTGCTTACAGCTTAGAGTTGAATGGGATTATTTAGCAGTTGGTGTCACTCACTTGTTGTATTAGAGCGGTGTTTACTACAGTAAATTTCGGGATGTCATTTTTTTTACCTTCCGTATATAAATCGAAACGGAGTATAAGACGAATGCCGGACTTTGCTGAAAAATGTATCGATTTATGACCCGAAAAATATGGTAATTTGGGGGGAATTTGAAACCGGTACGGATGGGCAGTAGTCGGCACGCTTTCATTCTGTGGTATTACGATGTCATATAATTTTGTAGGAATATTATTGACATAAATTTGAATACCGTACAGGAATTAATATGAGAAATAACGAGGTGCACCTATTTTTTTTAATTACGTATGAATTTGAATATTTTGTTGACACGTGATTCTTAATTGTGGTTTGAAAACGCCTGCTTTCGGGAAGAAAATGTCCGACAACTAAAATTTTGAAATCCCATCACTGGTCCAAAGGACAAATTCAACATGTTTACCTCAATATTATTATTATTATGATTACAGCATATTTATAGTGCACCCTTTCATATAACATGTTCAGGGGCACTTTACAAAGTGACAATGTAAATCATACATAAACTACAAGATTATGGACATGTTAACGATTGTATACAGAGTCAGTTAAAAGCCTGATTAAATAAATGTGTATTGTGTATAATTAAACATACATTATGCAAGAGCTAAATCTGCCTATTGTAAGTCTTTATTTAGGCTTCAGATGATAGAAATTATTAATTAGACCTTTATTGACATGACAAGTTCAAAATCACCTCTGTAGACCCTCAGGTGGCTTGGATACAGCATGGCTTTAAACTGTTAAAATTAAATCAATAAATGGCTGACCAAGCTAACGTTTAACATTAGTCACTGACGTCACTATGATGATCATGAAAGGCCTGCCAAGCGAGGGTATCATTGCCATTGAGAATGTTACTTGATAATCGAGAATATGTGGGTGGAGTTATCGTCTGTCAATCAAACAGTTGGAAATTCTTGTAGATGGTGCAGACACAGTTAATGCCTATTTCTAGTCCAAACTTCGAACAGTGACAACTCTGTTCAAAATGCAGTAATTTGACTGAAATTTTCAATATTTTCTTTTTTTTATCATCTATTTTTGAATTATTATAGCAAGAATGACCAACTCTTTATTAAACTCTTAACTAATGTATCTTTAAGATTTGAATTGATGTAAATATAAATACTAACATGTCCCCAGTAAGCAGCAGCATGTATAGGTTGCCAGGAATCATAATCTTTAACATTAACAGCAACATGATTGTCTAATAAATATTCAGCAACTTTTAAATAACCATTAGCTGCTGCAATATGAAGCTGAAAGATAATGAAGAAATGGATGTAAGGTAATTTTTATTTTGTAAAACATACATCTGAATACAAAATCATTATTTTAATAAAACAAATAAGCTTGGCACTTAAGGCATTTACAAAGATTACATAAAATTTGCAGTTTAGCAGAACAGTGATGGCAAACTGGGCTTTTTCTTTGACAATCTTTGTAAAGTGATCTAGCAATAATTTCATGGTTTTATTTTGATTTATGTTTGTGTTCTGTCTAGTAAACAAAATATTATGCTAGAGGTTCAGCCACTTGACAGAAGTCTTTTAAAGTTACTGATTTTTTTTGTGTGTATTTTTTTAAAAAAAATATTAATGTTTGTAGTGTGTGCTTTTATTGACTAATGTTTGGGCCGTCAAAGTATTACAATCATTGCTGGGTTTTATGCATATTGAAGTAATTGAATGTAAATTTGACTTTAAGAATTGTTATGGCAGTAATAGGAATTACCCTGCTGAATCCAACTTTAACATTAGCACGTGCAGTGATGTCATATCGTAGTCATGTGAGCCCACATTCCTCTGTCAGCTGCCATGTTTTAGTCGTTTCGTTTGCCCCTTTGTGATGTTTATTTTAGTCATTCATCATCTTTTCTCTAATGTTTGGATCAAATACAATGCAAGATAAGCTGTGAGTAACTGTAGATTTATTTGACTGACATTATGTGATTAAATAATGTTTTAATAACCGTATGTTTTGTGAAACTCTGCAAGTAAACAAACTTTCGTAAGCCACGTTATGGCTGTTACATGTACATGGACAGTAAACCGCATTTCCTCTGTTATGTCAAATTAAGTGCATATTTTAGTGTTTAAATTTATTGTTTGTACATCAACGTTTATTTTTGCTTTCAGCAAAACGACTACAGAATGTGAATAAACCTGTAAACGAAAAAGAAACGTCTTAACGCCCATACAAGAATAACCCTGACTTACAGGTGTGGCACCTATATGATCTCTAAACTCTAATCCTTTCTTTGTATCAGCCTTTTTTTCCAAATCTTCCAAAATATATTTTTCTGATGCTAATCTTTTATCATCTATTTCTTCTTGTGTTATACCTTTACAAATAAATTATACAATAGTCATTACATTTTCTTAGGAAATCTATCAGATCTTACCCGACATTTAAAAGTTTAACGTCCAAGATAAAGGATAATACAATTACAATACATTTATAAATATGATAGGATTTAACACAAGGTACAATTTTATGGATACACAATTATGAGTTTAATATTAAGTGACGATTCGATGAGGATACTCTCGTCTTTATCAAGCATATCCCCGTAGAAACGTCGCTTAGTATTAAACTCAGTAATTGTGTATCCATAAAATTGTACCTTGTGTTAATATGTTCAATTACTAAACGCCAATCAAAGAAGAAAACCGATAGGATTTATTTTAACAACAACAACAATTAATTAAGATGAAATTGTTATAAACTGAAATATGTTTAACACTGCATTGATTTTTATACGTTGCAAAACTGGCTATAGTTATCTCCTTAATTTCATGCTTTGCCAAGTTGGAATTGAGCATGCAAAATTACAAATGTTCTTCCAGGTCCACGCCAGTATTCAAACGTGGGACATTCTAGTCCAGTCTTGTAACAAAACAACCACCGTCAGCAACTTTTATGAGAATATCACTAAAATGAATTTACCTCTCTTTGCCATTTCCGTTTCAATATAATCCAACGTTCTTTCATCCTCACATATATCATAGGGCATATTACCATCAGCATTCACTGCTAATAAATCAGCACCCCTAAAAATATTGTCTTCAGTATCATTATAATTGAATAATTATACATGTTTATTCATGATGTGAGAATCTTAACAAGATACTAACATTTTAAACTGATTTGATGTTCGTGATTAAAAGACGAGCATGATATACATGAACTGAGTTTATAAAATAATCATAAATATGCCATTATTTTCAACAAGTATACCAAACATAAAGACTTAGATTAAGCTGTTATTCTGGGCAAAAATATTCTGAACCAGCGGCTGCCAGGCAGGATTACGCCCACACTTTGCAAGAGATGGATAGAGAACAAGTTAAAAACAAACAGGATTTTTTGTACAATCGGGGCAATAATCCAGAAAGTTATGGTCTGAAATGCACAAATATCAAAAGGGACCAAGACCTTTGGAATATAAAGATATATTTTAATTTTCATCAGAATCAGATAAAATTTTGTCAGGCAGTTTCATTTCGATTTTCCCGAAATTCGAATTCAACCTTCATTATGATGGAATGGTGAAATATTTAAGCGGTTTTTAAAATCAGAAAAAAAAATTGTGACCTCTACTTCTAGAGACTCAGCAAAGTAAAAAATGCGATTTTTCAAACAATCAGGAGCCATAATCCAGGAAGTTACTTTGAATATACGCGATTATCAAAAAGGAAACAAGATCTTAGTCTGTAATGGTGATATATTCACATTTTTTTTTCAAATCGGATAAAAATTGTGACCTCTACAAACTAAAAACATGATTTTTCATACAATCAGGAGCCATAATTCAGGAAGTTACTACCCGATATGCCTGAATATCGAAAGGAACCAAGATCTTTGGGATGTAAACATGCATTTCAAGTTTCAACAAAATCGGATCAAAATTGTGACCTCTAGAAGGTCCCAAACTTTGATATACCAGATGTTTACACTAATTGTGTACGAGGGGCGGCCATTTTGTCCGGCAGTTTTGGTCCAATTTTCATGAAATTCGATCCCAACCAAAATTATGGTGTAACAGTGATATATTTGAATGTTTTTTTAAATCAGATAAAAATTATGACCGCTATAAGCTAAAAACGCGATTTTTCGTACAATCAGGGGCCATAATTCAGGAAGTTACGGTCCGATATGTGCGAATATCAAAAGGAACCAAAATCTTTGGGTTATAAACTTACATTTCAAGTTTCATCAAAATCAGAAGAAAATTGTGACTTCTAAAGGGTCCACAACCTTGATATACCATATTTTTACACCATTTGAGAACGAGGCGTGGCCATTTTGTCTGTTAGTTTTGGACTGATTTTCATGAAATTCGAACTCAATCAACCTTAGTGTGTAATTGTGATATACTAAAATGTCTTTTAAATCGGATAAAAATTATGACCTCTATAGGGTCCACAAGCTAAAAACACGATTTTTCGTACAATCAGGGGCCATAATTCAGGAAGTTATGGTCCAATATGTGCGAATATCAAAAGGAACCAAAATCTTTGGGTTATAAACTTACATTTCAAGTTTCATCAAAATCAGAAGAAAATTGTGACTTCTAGAGGGTCCACAACCTTGATATACCATATTTTTACGCCATTTGAGAACGAGGCGTGGCCATTTTGTCTGTTAGTTTTGGTCTGATTTTCATGAAATTCGAACTCAATCAACCTTAGTGTGTAATTGTGATATACTAAAATGTCTTTTAAATCGGATAAAAATTATGACCTCTATAGGGTCCACAAGCTAAAAACACGATTTTTTGTACAATCAGGGGCCATAATTCAGGAAGTTATGGTCCAATATGTGCGAATATCGAAAGGAACCAAGATCTTTGGGTTATAAACCTACATTTTAAGTTCCATCAAAATCAGAAGAAAATTGTGACCTCTAGAGGGTCCACAACCTTGATATATACCTAATTTTTATACTATTTGAGAACGAGGGGCGGCCATTTTGTCTGTCAGTTTTGGTCCGATTTTCATGAAATTCGAACTCGACCATCTTTAGGGTGTAACGGTGATATACTAAAACATTTTTTTAAATCGGATAAAGATAGGTTGCCAGGCAACGAAACATACGCCTAAAGCAGCTATATCGTCCGGGCAGTCAACAAGAGTTGTCGCATATTTTTACTCTTTTCGGTAATGAAACATTTTATTTATCATACATTCAATTCTGATTAAGAGTAACAACTCATTAAGTAATTATCAGAAAACTATTAGAATTTTTATAAAGTTATGTCCCATGCTAATGCTTAGTATACAAAACTTTTAACATCATGGATTTAGCTGTTCAAGTCATAAAGATTCATTGAAAATCAATATACTTGTTTGTCTCAAGACCTTAAACTCTGTGTATCAATCTAAAGTCAATCTGGTGATAACTTTAGCCTCTAGAGCGTCACAAGATTTTTCAAAGTGATCAAGGGCCATAACTTTGGCAGTAATTATCCGAAATCATTGAAAATCAATATGATTCTTCATCACATGGCCTCAAACACTGTGTATAAATTTAAAGTCAATCGGATATTAACTTTAGCCTCTAGAGCGTCCACAAGATTCTTCAAAGCGATCAAGGGCCATAACTCTGGCAGTATCTATCGGAAATCGCTGAAAATCAATAGGATTCTTTGTCTCATGACCTTAAAAAGTGTGTATAAATTTAAAGTCAATCGGATATTAACTTTAGCCTCTAGAGCGTCCACAAGATTTTTCAAAGTGATCAAGGGCCATAACTCTGGCAGTAATTATCGGAAATTGCTGAAAATCAATGGGCTTCTTTGTCTCATGACAAACACTGTGTATCAATTTAAAGTCAATCGGATATTAATTTTGACCTCTAGAGCGTCCACAAGATTTTTTGAAGTGATCAAGGGCCATAACTCAGGCAGTAATTATCGATAATCGTTGAAATTCAATAGGTTTCTTCGTCTCATAACCTTAAACACTGTATAAATTTAAAGTCAATCGGATATTAACTTTGACCTCTAGAGCGTCCACAAGATTTTTTGAAGTGATCAAGGGCCATAACTCTGGCAGTAATTATCGAAAATCGCTGAAAATCAATAGACTTCTTCGTCTCATGACCTTAAACACTGTGTATAAATTTAAAGTCAATCAGATATTAACTTTAGCCTATAGAGCGTCCACAAGCAATTGTGGTTGCCAGCCCGACGGACCGACGGGGGCGACAACAATATACAACCACATTTCAATGTGGGCGTATAAAAATTATGACCTCTATAGGGTCCACAAGCTAAAAACATGATTTTTCGTACAATCAGGGGCCATAATCCATGAAGTTTCGATCTGATACATGTATGCACGAATATCGAAATGAACCAAGATCTTTTGGCTATAAACTTACATTTCAAGTTTCAACAAAATCGGATAAAAATTGTGACCTCTATAGGGTCCACAAGCCAAAAACGTGATTTTTCGTACAAACAGGGGCCATAATCCATGAAGTTTCGATCCGATACGTGCCAATATCGAAAGCAGCCAAGATCTTTTGGAGATACACCTATATTTCAAGTTTCGTTAAAATCGGATAAGAATTGTGACCTGTAGAGTGTCCACAAACAAATTGTGGACGGACGGACGGACAGACAAGACAGACAGACGTCCGGACGGACAGGGGCGACGGCATAATACGTCCACATGAAAATGTGGGCGTATAAAAACGGGACATATGAGAAAATGAAATGAAAATATCGGGAAATAACTCAAAAATGGCAGGAAAATGTCGAACAAGTAAACAGTTTAACGTCCTTCTGTTCTGCTCCGAACTGGGCTAATGAAGACGGGCATACGCCATACAGTGTGCTATGAGGGAAATGTTGCCCGGACAGTGGCACTACAGCCTACTCTAATATCGAATTCCAAGTGTCAAGGGATTTTTTGACGTGCACGCCAATGTATACACAGGACCTCGGTTTTCCGTCCCATCCGAACGACTAGACAGCTGTCCTTGTCAGGCCCTCCGTTCTGCATCACTGACAAGGGGGGACCACGCTGGGAAATCTGGATGAACCTTCTCGGCCAATTCACGGATCAAACACCCCAACTCCAGGCGTGGAATGATCATCTGGAAAATTATACAACCCTAAATTGCACGGTTATTAATATGAAATGAAATAGGCTTTAACAACCTGCTGTTCTACTTCTACTGGGTTAATTAAGACAGGCATACGCTATACAGAATGCTATGAGGGAAATTTTGTCCGGTAATAGGAGACGGATTCTCTAAGCCACGACCTATTGTGTATGTTTTCACGCCCATTAATATGGATTTTTCACTATTTTTCATTTTCAATTCAAAATGGCGTCCATCATTTGCCAGAAATCAAAATCTAAGCCCTACATTTTATTGGCTTTCCTTCAAGGATCCGGAAGATATAATTCCCTTGTCTGTAAGTACACTATCAAAAAAGCCTTAAGGACATTTCACATTTCAAGATGGTGGCACTTCCGGATTGACCTACAAACTCCATTTTTTGTGTACGAATCAGTAGTGTCGTAGCTAGTACAGAAAAAATAATTCAAGGTAATCTGACCTATATTTCGTCAATTTTTTTGAAAAATTTGATCCTTTATTTCTCCAAGGGAAGATAAGTTAGAAAATTTCTAATGACATCTTTACGTCGCATCAGTAGGATCCACTTACATTCCAAAATTGAACAAAATCGTGCGAAATATTAAAGAAGTTGTCAAGTTGGTCTCAACTTCCGGTTCGAAATCACAGCGACAAATTTTCGAAATTCGAAAATCTGAAATTGCAGATGAAAATGCTTTTTTTCAAGGTACTCAAAAAAAAAAAGATAGGTTGCCAGGCAACGAAACATACGCCCACAGCGTCTAAATCGTCCGAGCGGTCGACAAGGATTGTCGCATATTCATTCCTTTGTTGGTAATTGGGGGCCTTTACAAGACAGTTCCATACAGATCAGATTATAATTTTTGCCGTTTGAGGGTTCACAAGGTTCTACAAATTGAAACAAGGGTCTCAACTCTGGAAGTAATCTACAGAAATT